CGCGGCAGGGGGTGAAGCAGGCAAAGGTCTTTATTCTTATGAGATGACAGCCCTGGGGCGGGGGGGCGGAGGGGGGGAGGACAGAAAAAACAAAAGCAAAACATAAACAAAGCTAATTAACCTCAGCCCAGGTCATCAAGCTTTTGAATTCAGCAAATTGTATTCTAGTGATTTAATATGAAAACAGAGGCCCTAGCTAAGTAGTGTCTCATTCTTGGAGACCCAGCTCAGAGTCACCTACTTCATGAGGCCCTGCTGGATCCTCACCACTCCCCCAGGCCCTTTGCTTTACCTGGGACCCCTCAGTGCTGTGATCACACTTTGAAGACTTCTCTAGCCTGCGAGTTGTGTGAGAACACTGAGGTAGATGCAGAAAGGGGCTCAGAGTGTGATTAAGTCTGAATAAATGAAAAGATCAATCCGCACCCACCCCCCCCAAAATGTAGAAATTAGGAGTCAAGCTTGGTAGCTAGAGATCAAGAAGTGTTATTTTCACATCATGAAGGAGGAATAGTAAGATCAGTAATTTTTAATCCAATTTAGTGACTTCATTGTGACCAAATTTAGCAGAAATTTGATAAACTTTACTGCATGGTTCCATTTAGATTTTTCCAATTCATGAGTGACAATAGCATTACACACACACACACACAGACACACACACACACACACCCCTCACCTCTCCAAAGCCTGATTCCTTCAGCGCTCTGAGTTTAGTTCCAGGCAACATCAGAGCTTCTAATTTGACTGGGGTTAGTTAATATGACTTCAGTTAGACATAATTCTGTTTAATGGCATATCATAATAGCTAATGATAATTACAAGAGATAGTTAAAAGATCTTTTTCATCTGAAATGAGAATCCCAGGCATCTTTCTCGTGTAGAAGCATAATAAAAATTGTTTAGCTTTATCAGTAAATTTTTATCAGCACCTTTTAAATCAACTAGATTTCTTTGCTTTTTGTGTAGACAGAAATTTAAGTGAACTGTATATTTTAAATGGTGTTAAAAATAATAATACCAAGTATTTATTGAGGATCTACTATGTGCCAGGCATTTTCTATGAACTTTGAACAGGTATGAATTCATTTTATCCTCTCAGAAAACCCATTTTCTGTTGCTATTAATATTATTTCAATGTAAATGACAAAACTAAGAAGTCAAAGGTCTTGTCCAAATCAGGTCAGGAGCCAGGCAACCTAGATTCTTTGCCGTGAGCTTAAGTACTTACATTATCCTATCTTTCACTAAACATTTTTAATTTGTTTTGATGTTGACAAACCCACGTACACACAGCAGCACTGCTAAGTAAAACAGCTTGTACGGACATTTCATTTACACTCTAGATTCAGTGCCACCATGAACCTAGATGGTCATGACAGGAATGAAGTGATTTAATTTCAAAACCAGGCCGGATGCCGTGGCTCACACTTGTAACTCAGCACTTTGCCGGGCCAAGGCAGGCCAATCACTTGAGGCCAGGAGTTCGAAACCAGTCTGGTGAACATGGCAAAAACCCATCTCTCCTAAAAATACAAAAATTAGGCTGGACGAAATGGCTCACATGTGTAATTCCAGCACTTTGGGAGGCCGAGGTAGGTGGATTACTAGAGGTCAGGAGCTTGAGACCAGCCTGGCCAACATGGTGAAACCCTGTCACTACTAAAAATACAAAAAATTAGCTGGGCATGCTGGCGGATGCCTGTAATCCCAGCTACTCAGGAGGCTGAGGCAGGGGAGTCACTAGAACTGGGGAGGGGGAGGTCTCAGTGAGCCAAGATCGCACCACTGTACTCCAGCCTGGGTAAAAAGAGCAAACTCCACCAAAAAAAAAAAAAAAAAAAAAACCCAAAACTAAAATTAGCTGGATGCGGTGGTACACCCTGTAATCCCAGCTACCCCAGAGGCTGAGACAGAATTGCTTGAACCTGGGAGGTGGAGGTTGCAGTGAGCCAAGATTACACCACTACACTCCAGCTGGGTGACACAGGGAGAGTCTGTCTCAAAAAAAAAAAGAAAGAAAGAAATTAGCCAGGTGTGGTCTCACACTGTAATCCCAGTTACTCGGGAGGCTGAGGCACGAGAATTGCTTGAACCTGGAAGGTGGAGGTTGCGGTGAATTGAGATGATGCTACCTCACTCCAGCCTGGGCAACGGAGGGAGATTCTGCCTCAAAAAAAAAAAAAAAAACATTTACAAAACCAGGGTGAGAAGAAATGGAGAAACACTTCTACATTTTACCTAATTCTTAATTCTTATCAACTAAATCAGCCCCTCCAACAAAACTTTTTTCCCTCACTGTAGATGTCCAATCTTATCACCTTACCCAGCTTATTGAGTCAACATTCCTGATATGCTCAATATGAAACTAAGATATTACAATAGTTTAACTTATCTCTGCTTCTAGTTTATCTCCTTTACTGCAGTAAGAAGAATCTTTGTTTCACCCCAGCTTATATGTCACTCTCCTGCATTGAACCTTCGATGGCTTCCTATTGCCTGGATCAGTGGTTCTCAGATTGATAAAGGAACTTAAAGTGGTGATGGTTGCATTAAGTGTGATTATACTAAAAATTATTGAATTTTATGTTTAAAATAGGTGAATTGTATGGTATGTGTAAAGTTATTTTTTAAGATGTATAGGGAGAGCTGGGGATGGTGGCTGATACCTGTAATCCCAGCACTGTGGGAGGCTGAGGCTGGAGGATTGCTTAAGTTCAGTGGTTGATGACTAGCCTTGGCGCAACATAGTGAGACCTCATCTCTTCAAAAAAATTTAAAATTAGCTGCGTGTAGTGGTGTGTGCCTATAATTCTAGCTACTCCAGAAGCTGAGGTGGGAGGATGGCTTGAGTCCTGGTCAACACTGCAGTGAGCTGAGATTGCACCACTGCATTCCAGCCTGGGTGACAGCAGGAGACCCTGTCTCAACAACAAGAAAAAATATGTACGGGGTGACACATGTGGTGGCTCACACGTAATTCCAGTGCTTGGGGAAGGTGAGGCCAGGAGTTTGAGACTCAGACTGGGCAACATAGCCTGGGTAATATAAAGACCCTGTCTCAAAAAAAAAAAAAAAAAATAGCTGGGTGTGATGGTATGTACCTATAGTCCCAGCTACTAAAGAGGCTGAGGTGGGAGGATCTCTTGAGCCCAGGACTTTGAAGTTACAGTGAGCTATGACTGCACATTGCAGTCTACCTCGGGTGACCAAGTGAGACCCTGCCTCAAAAACACCTCAAAATACACAAAGGAATAAAGGCTTCTGGAATTCATACCGTGCTATGTGTAACACAATGAAATGTTGAACTATAAGCAATTTTACTAGCATAAAACAAGATTACAGTATATGTACTTCATATTTATAGTTTATTTATTACATTAAAATTCACTACTTTATGACTACAACAAAAGTGTCGAGTACCTTTTGCAGCCATCACTGAAGTGAGAGTAGCCAAAGTGAAATTCAATGCTTTTGTGACTTCTGACTGAAGCAAGAACTGCAAAAGGCATTTCAATTCACTTTCCCACATTTGCAGGAAGATTATGTCTTCCCCTCTTTCCAAAGAACTAAGACAGAAGTATGATGTTTGATCCATGACCATCCAAAAGGACAATGAAGTTCAGCTTGTGCGAAGACATCATAAAGGTCGGCAAATTGGCAATGTAGTCCAGGTTTACAGGAAGAAATATGCCATCTACATTGAACAGGTACAGCAGCAAAAGGCTAATGGTACAACTGTCCGTGTAGGCATTCACCCCAGCAAAGTGGTTATCACTAGGCTAAAAGTGGACAAAGACCATAAAAAGATCCATAAACAGAAAGCCAAATCTCATCAAATAGGAAAGAAAAAGGGCAAATACAAGAAAGAAACCGTTGAGAAGATACAGGAATAAAGGAATCATATATACAAGCTTTCATACAACTGCTGAAATGAAAAAAAGAAGTGTTAAGCCAAGCTTATCAACAATTTCTAATCAATGTCTAATGGTTGCCTTTAAAATGAAATTGCCATTTGTTAAATTACTTTGTTGCCACCACTATTTGCTAGCAAATAAGCATTAACAACACAGAAGACCTAAGAAAAATTTGACAGAGAAACTATAAAATTAAGCACGTTTAATCTAATACTTTTTTTTTGTCTTCAAATTAAGACTTCAGAAAAACATCTGGATTTGGAATAACACTATGTTTTTCTAGGAGGAGTTTTTACAATCCTTGGCTCCCTAGCAAATGCCTGTATTATCTGAGGTCAAAAAGACCCTTCTTTCAACCTAGTCTTAAATGACTTTTCCATCTTCTTCTCTTTCTGCCCTGCCTCACTTCTGCCACACTATGTGGCTCAGTATCCCCCAAACCACTCTGTGGTTTTGGTCATGTCCCTTCCCTCTTCTGGGATATTCTTCCAGAACTCTTCTCCACTTCACCCTTCAAAACTCACATAACTTCCTTTTTGCCCCCTGACTTCTCCAATCCAGAAAAGCACCAGCAGAGGAGAAAATAGGTATATTCTACTAAATGTTGTATTTCCAGTATAAACATAGAGACTGGCACATAGGACATTGCTTCATAAATGTCCTCTTCTTTGTATTCTCAGAGTCTTGACACACATCTGTGCACTTACCTCACTGTGCTAGAAGGAATTTTCAGTGACTCAACCCTCATATCTCCTTCTCCAGTAGACTATGAGCTCTTGAAGGCAGGAATTATGTCTTTATCACATAGTAGATGCCCCATAAATATCTGGGAAATCTAGATGAGTTGAAAACATATTCACTAATCTCCAAATGTTCAAAATATTCAGGAATATTGAGACATACAATGTACCTAAATACTATGTGGCAAAACTTATGAGGTATGTACATAGTATTAGGAAAATTCTGATGAAGGAGCTATATACAGCTTCTGGCTTGGCGGCGTTTGTCCTGGAATCTTCATATAGGCTGTGACATTTGAGCTGTCCTTTGAGGTATAAGATGACTAGGAAAATAGAAAAAATGATTTTCTAAGTAGAAGAAATTCAGCACAAGACAGAAACTGAGAGGTTAGGGCTACTAGCATCCCAATGGGTCTGATGAAGCTTCAGTTTGGGGTTCACGGCAGGGAGTGGCTGGCAAAAAGCTGGGAAAGTACGCTAGTTCTGGCAGCCGTCCTGGCCTGAACTTTACAACATGAGCAAGAGAGTGTCAGGATCAAAGCTGTGTTTTAATCTGCTCTCTACACCCTCTTCTCCCCTGACTCCTCCCAACATAACATATTGACCATGTAAAAGAGTTGATCAGAGGCAGCATGATGATTCATCATAAGAATCAACTTGAGACTTAGGATTGTGCTCTAACCAGTCAACAATCAGCCAACACTAGTGCTATGTAAATCACACACTGAAGCACAAGTCAAGAATGTGGTAGAACTAACACAGCTGGTTTCTTGGGAAAGTCAGTATCATTCAATTCAAGGATTCCTGACCTTTATGAAGCCCTCCCTGATTTTACCAGCCTAAAAGGATCTCTCTTTCTTTCTCTCTGTCTTTCCCTTTCTATTTCTCTTTCTCTCTCTCTCAAAATAAGTGCTCTCCCCAGAGCACATATTTTGTACTTAGGACACTTTGAAATTTTTTTCTTGCATTGCTGCTGTTCATCCTCATTCCTGGTACCATCCTGCTTTTCTCTTTGCCTCATTTTACGAGCTTATTTTTTGATATAATTCACCTTTAAAAGACATCATGGGAGCAAGATAGGGTACTGGCCGGGCATGGTGGCTCACGCCTGTAATCCCAGCACTTTGCAAATACTGAAACATGCAATGTATTTAACACTTGAGGTCAGGAGTTCGAGACCAGCCTCACCAACATGGTGAAAAACCATCTTCACTAAAAATACAAAAATACAAAAATTAGCCATGGTAGTGGTTGCCTGTAATCTCAGCTACGTGGGAGGCTGAAACAGTAGAATCCCTTGAACCTGGGAGGTGAAGGTTGCAGTGAGCCGAGATCACACCACTGCATTCCAGCCTGGACAACAGAGTGAGGCTCCATCTCAAAATAGTAATAATTTTAAAAAGGGTATAAAGCAATCAATTATAAATACTGTTAGATTTTAAGTTTCGAGATGGGAGAGTTTATCTCCTACTCACTTTTATAAGTTCCACAGCACTACACAAAACACATCTGTTGAATAAACTGATGTAGTGAGGACAATGTGATAAAGTAAAAACATTCATTGGATTTTTTAGAAAGTTTACATCTTTTCCTTGAAATATCACCAGCTTGCTGGTGGTTTACAAATTCTACTAGTTTACCAGAATATTTGCAGAGATGTTTATCTTGTATTCTTTCAAATTTTTATCTCTTTAAACTATGTCCCATCTGTGTTTGCCCATTTTCTTACTTTGACAAAGTTTCATCTCTTATATAGGTCTTTCAGGAAAAAAGCTCTTAGATTTATTTATTATGCTTATTTTTCTAGCAGAAAAGATGTATTTATTTCAGCAAAATTATAAAGTAAAAAATCAAACAATAATATTTGGCACTCACTGAGACACAATTTTGTAAAGAAGAAAACTAACAGTAATCAGCATAAGTACAATAAATTATAAAGATCTATTGATCTTTTAATGGGGGAAAATAACCAGAAGAAACACAAAAAGACTTAAAATACAGCATCATTGCCACATCACATGAAAACATTCCCATAAAATATTAACAACTTCCACTTGAACATGTAATTTTTCAGCCCTCTTTGAACTTCTTCTGAAATCTTGATGTTCTACTGACATTTATAGACTAGCCATTCTCTCACTCCATGAACTCACAAGTATTCAGTCCCTTCAAAAGCAATTAAAAAGGAATGCTTCCTGTTAGATATACAATACTTAAAGGCTAATATTTAATCTTAATTGGCAACAAGTTTAGTGCAAATAAAATTACATTTAGCAGCTTAGAAAGTCCTGGCGAGCATGCATTCTCTTAATCCTTACTGTTTCCCCAGAGTGAAATCATTTCTCTTTTTCTGAGTACAAATGTTGGCCATTCAAACCTACTGAAAACTAGTAATGATAATTCTGTTTGTTACACAGGGAGTTTCCATGAAAGATGGTTTCAGTCACTATGCAAATGAGCCACATGGTTTTTACATTTGGAGAGTTCCCTTTGGGTTGATACAAAAAAGCAGGGCCTGAATGACAGTTCTCTTGGGAATAGAGTCCAAGTCATAACTGGATCTTACCCAACTGCTTCTCTGATCAGTGAGAAGACCCAAAGGAGGCATTAATCATTTTACCCACTAACCACCACACATGGCATTCAAAAAAAGACTTGGAAACAGGGCTGGGGAATCTCTCAAATCAAACTTTACTCTCCAGTAATAATTTTATTTCACTGATTTCAGTGCCAAAAAAAACGAAAAATAAAGCCATCTGATTTCAAACCTGGTGCTTCCCACTGTCAGCCAAGATTTATTATCCAAATGAACATAAGCCAGAGAGCTCCTAGCCAGAGAGGATTTTGTATGTGCTTCGTCAATTCCTCGAATTGCCTCTCTTTTTGTTAGACATCTGTTCCCTCTCTGGCCAAGGCTGGGAACTGCTGCTTCAAGGAAACAATGTGGCTTACTGTGCCCAGAACCATGGTGGCAAGGGAAGAGGAAGAATGCCTTTTGGATTTTGAGCACCTGGCTCTGCCCCTTGTCTAGGTCTCTCTAGTTCAAGTACTTCAGCTTTCAAAAAGGTTGGATGATCCTCCTAAGGTTCAGCATGTGGTGACATAAGATCCAGTGAGGTCAACGCCATCTCCCTTGACCATCCTCTTTACCAACTCTCATCAGCTTTTATATTCCCCTGGAATTCTTTCACTCAGTAGGGTGAGGGTATGCTGCCTGCATGTTGGACAGAGAGACCCACCTCAGTCACTATACTCTTCTCTTTCCCTTGGACTGGGGAATTTCTCATACTGGTTGGCCAATTTCCACTTGCTGTGCTGACTTTTGAGTAGTGCAGCAAAGGAAGTCTTTCGGGTGACATTTCTAGATATTTCCCTGCTCTTGGCCTTTCTGGTGGGGGAAGAACTTCCAACTAAGGGATAGACGGAGAAAATGGGCTTGCCCCTAGGGGCTCCCAATAGCTGCCATATTTCCCCAGAGGTATTACTGGTTAGATACTGCCATGGCTTCTTCCCACTGCTGTCCCTGACATTTACTCGAGAAGCCAACCTTTGCACTAGCAATTTGATAACTCCCTGGTGGCCATGAATGGCTGCAAGATGCAGTGGGGTATACCCACAACTGGACCTCACATTTACATCAAGGACAATCCCTGCCTTCTTTGCTCCAGAGACCAAGTCCTGAAGGGCCCTGAGGTCACCATGTTTGGCTATCCAGTGCAAGGCGGTGTACCCAGTCAAAAAGTCTTTGTGCAAGGCCAGTTGAGGTTCCTCCCAGAACAAAGTCCACACCTGAATCCAGGAGCCACTGGCAAGCTTCACAATCCACTCGTGCTCCCTGGCATCTAGGGGAACCAGGGATGATTTGTGCTCAGAAGTTCTGTGGGGGGCCAAGGCTGCAGGCCCCTCCCCACTAGGAGCCCACAAGCTGTGTCGCCAATCCCACTCAGCCCCAACAGCCTTAACCTCTGCAAGCTTTGGTGATAAAGCTGCATCTACCCTTGGGTTGGGCACTGTTCCTGCTTTGGAGGGCTTTCTGGATCGAGGTGGGCGCCGACTTCTTCTCAGCAAGCTCTCATCAAGGTACTCCTCATCAGAGGAGGACAATTTGGCTCTTCCTGCCAGAGAGCTCCTCCTGAGGGACCTCCTTAACCTAGGAGCTGGCCAAGGCAAAGGCTCCAGGGAGTGGCCTGCAAGGCCATTAGCCCCTGCAGGGACCTGCTGAGAGGGGTGACCATCCTTTCTGTTTCTGAGGCCCTGAGGGCTCCGGCTGGGGCTGCCCTCCTTCTGAGATAAAGAAAGGCCCCCAGCTGTATTCCTGAGCTTCCCCCGATCTGGGGTTCCCAAGACAACCTGCAGCCCTTCTTCAGAAGCCCCCGGGGACTCTTTGGGCCCGCTGCTGCTTTCCTCACTGCCATGACTCTCCTGGTCCACAAAGTCATCTAGATCTTGGAGGGAAAGCTGACAACGAATGCTGCGAAAGACAGTCAGTGAAGGGTTCCCCGGCCAGGATTCCGAGGATTCATCTGGAGCAATAGGAAAGAGAGGGTGTGAGGAAAGACGGGGATCTGGCGGCCCTGAGTTAGGCTCCGTGGAGCCAGGTTCCAAGGACAGCTGGAGGAAGTTGTCTGGCAGCACCGACCAGGCGCGGATAGGGCCCTGATCAGGGGCCTCAGGCACCTGCGGGTGCCTGGCCACCCACTCTCGAGTGCGCTGCTGCTGTTGCTGCAGGGTCGAATAATGCAGGGAGCTGGGGGTCAGCAACTCCAGCCCGTCTCCGCGGGGAGCGGGGCAGGGCAGGAGAGCAGGCAGCGAAGCCCGGTTCGTCGCAGCCTCGACGGTGGCCGGAGGCAAGCGAGGTGTTGCAGGCACTGACACGGGCTCAGCCAACGCGCCTTCTTCCAGCTCCCTGGAAGCCCTGCGGCCATCCAGGGCGGGCAGAGCCCGCGCCGGCTTCTCCTCCGCGGTGGCGGAGTCCGGGAGTGCGCCGAGCTCTCCCGGGAGCCCCGCCAGGCTGTTCTGGAGGCATTCCCAGCAGCAGCGTCCCTGAGCCTCCGCCGCCGCGCACCTCGCTCCCGCCTGGGCCCCTGCCGCTGCAGCTGCGGGCACCGGCGCCCTCTGTCCAGGGCTGCCCTTCGATCCGCCGCCCTTCCCGGGAGCCCCGCGGGCGCCGCTGGCTGGGAGTCCATTGCAACCCGCGTCGGCGGCTCTGACTGCTGCACCTGCTGGCTCCTCCTCCGGCTCCTTCTCACGCCGCCGCCGCCTGGGCTGCTGCTGGGGAGGCTCCCCTCGGCGCGCGCCTCGCGGGGAGCAGGGCGCAGCTCCCCCTGCACTGGGGGCGGTTGCGGGCGTATCGCGGGGTCGCTGCAGCCCCTCCTCCCCCAAAAGGTCCCTGTACCTCCTCTTGAGCACCACGTACTTGGTGCCGTCGGGGTCCTGGCGCACTGCGGCGACCGAGTTGACGAAGCCCTTGAAGAGCTCGCGGCGGTGCTGGTGCTGGTTGGGGGGCAAGTCGGGGTCTCGGAGAAAGCTCTTGAAGTGGCTCAGCAAGGCAGCATTGGTCACGCGGCCCCCAGCCTGGCACAGAAAGTCCAGTAGTGCCTCTTGGCTCAGTTCTCGGGCCATCGCTGCCTTGTCTTCCGCCCCCGGGGTGTCTGCGTCTCGCCCTCCGGGGGCTCTCCCCCGCCAGAGAAAACCCTGGCCCGGCGAATGTCACCTGCGCCTGGGGCGGCACCGACCGCCCCCATCAGCGGCGGCGGCCAGCGCTGCCCGCGGCCGGTGAGCGCGCCAGGAGGGCCGTGGGTCCCCTTCGGTGGCCCCTGGGCTGAGTCCCCGCGGGCAGTCTGGGAGAGAGAAGGCGGCTCCTAGGCACCCCCTGCGCGACGCTAGCCTCTCGCAACCAGTCCCCGCAGCGAAAGTTCCCGGGATAGGGCCGAGTCGGTTTCACCTGCGCCCTGGCGGCGCCTCCTCCCTGGCTCTGGGGGGGAAGGGCCCGGCCCGCCTCTGCGTGTCACTCCGCCCTCCGAGGTCTCCCCCACTCCCCGCCACCCATCCCAGAAGAGTCGGGCGGGAGAGCCAGCGGGTAGGTGAGGTTGGCGGCGAACCCAGCCGGCAGCGAATCGCTCTGCGAGACGCGCGGCCGCTCCCGGCCAGGGAAGTGGAAGGCAGGTAGGCGACCCGCCGTTCCTCTGAGTCTCCGCCACGCAGGAAACAAAAGCGATGGAAAGTCCGTTCCTGTCCTCCTGGTGCTTTGATGAGTTCAGGCTGAAGCCGATGGGGGAGGAGGGGAAGGTGCAAGTTAACAGGCAATCTGAGTTCTTTCTTTATGAACGCTGTAAAGGATTATTTCAGATTTCTCGAGGCTGTTTTGAGGTCCGCAAAACTCACTTTGCATCCAAACTAATTTTTTCTTAAGATGGAAATACTTACTGGGCCGCTTCTCCGGCGCCCCTTCCAAGGGGTCCAAATACATCCAAGTCTAGACCGAAAAGAGAAATCACTCTGAAAATTACTACTGGCCAATGTTGGTTTGGGCCTTTTCCTTCATACTTGTCTCACATTAAGGTGCTGGAAAAAACAAACAAACAAAAACACTTTAATAGCTTCTTGCTCCCAGCGGCCAAAATGAACTAGAAATTATGTCTCGCCAGTTAAGATATTTGATGTGTAGCATTAGTTTGCTTTTATTTACTCTAAAATTTGTGAACAGCAGAGGTCTGTACAGAGTTTTGTGTTAGCTTGGTGAAGCCCTTCTGTTCAGAATGTAAGATTCCCTCCACAGGTTCAAAATGCAGACGAGAGCTGTCTTTAACAGACTTTTGCCCCATAACAGCTGGGATCCCTCTTCCTTTTACTCTCTCCACGTTGCCACTTTTGTCCTGGAGATGAGACCCTGGATGTCTATTCCTTATCAGTCCTGTAGACATGCCTGAGATAGTTTTCACTGTCATTATCTCTTTTCCTGTTTTAGTTACAAGTCCGCTCTCATTCTTTTCTTTAGCTTGACCTTCCCATTTCTTTCTGTTACATCTTTGTTTACCTTCAGCCTCTACTGACAGGAAATATGTTTCTCAGATCCTCTCATGTCCACTGTACTTCCCATTCAAAAGTGTCCATTTTCTCTTTCCCTGTCATTTGTCACTTTTTTCTTGCACTCCCCTCATCTTTCCACTTTCTCTTTTGCTCTTCTATTTCTGATTATTTATAGTTTCTATTCTTTTTGCCAAGAGAGAGTATTGAAAGTATGTGTGTAGGCCCTGCAACTGTTGACAAAGACATGTTTTAGCATGGACCAATCTTAGTGGCTGCCCTACAGACCACATTAACTGAGCTTGATTTTTAAATCCCCAAAAGTACCCTGGTACTTTTCCATGAATGAATCCTTGGCTTTAAATTATCTAGGTCAGAAAAAAAGAACTGGAAACATTTTTGTCTATTTTTGGCATTTTCTAGGATTCAAACCCAATACTGGGTTGAGAGAGGGATAGTGGTTTCCACTGATGTCTCTACATAACATCAAGCCTATAGGATAGTTACTAAAATAAAGGTTTTGAATTAAACTTCAGTTTTCTTTTGAATTTATTTGCTGGTATAGAGTCTTGCTGGGACTCAGGGAGGTGAGTCCATACCTAAGGCAGGAGGAAGACCGAATGGAAGACTCAAGTAGGCATTTTAGAATGGCAAGTGGAAAGAATCCCTGTTTGGTACTTTTAAAAACATTTGGTTACAAAATAAGGGGCTTGCTGCAAAAGAGAGCCATAATATTGACTGAAGTTTCTACTTAAAGGACTTGAAAAGACTAGAGAGAAAGGAAGTGGAAGGCCAGGTGAGGGGAGATTATAAAGCATATGGTTGTTGAAATCAGATTATTTTTAGTTGAGGGTGGAATTAATTGGACTGGAGGGAACAAAAAGAAAAAACTCTGATTGCTTTAGATTTCTGGATTCCCAGGTACTTTGGTGTCCAGACCTTCTCCTCTTTCTCTCTCTTGTCCCAGGGTAAAGGGATGGTTAATTAGAAAGCTCTTTATGTTATCTCAGGGAGCATTTTCCTGCCTCCTGCATATACAGTTTGTTATTTCCAAAAATATTTATGAAGCTCCTACATTACCCTGACACTGTTGGAAATAGGAATAAAGAAGAAAGTGTGCTTGAGAACTTGCTATGTCTCTCTATTTAGTAGAAGCAACAAGATAAATGGCATGAACCTGTGTGCTAAGTGATTTAACAGAGACATGCACCACATACTGGAGAAGTTGAGGGGAGGTGCCTAAAGGAAGAACTCAGGCTCAGCTTGGGGGATCAGGAGAATTTTCCAGTAAGAGCTAACTTTGAGTAGAAAAGGTGAGAATAAGCTTTAAGGCAGAAAAAACATTGATGCAAAGGCAAAGAGATCTGGCTTAGCATAAGCATAGCTGTTTGGGGAATGAACTGCCAGTAGATCTGCTTGGCCTATTTGGCTTTAAGGAAGAGGACGTGTGTAGATGTGCTAGAAGGGGGAAAAGATGGGAATCAAAAGATGAAGGGCTTTGTGGGTGGGGGCGGCTTGGAAGAATTTTCCCAAGGGTAGCAACCTAACCAGATATGTACTTAGGAAGACCCCCTGGAGGTTAAGTGTTGGTTTGAAATCATGACCAATATTAATAAGTAAAAAGATACATTGTAGAACAATGCTGTATGTAACCAAACCTAAGAACCATTGATTGTATGACCCATTGTGATTTTAGAGATGTTGAAATGTGAAAAAAAGTTCCTCCTAAAATATAATACAGCATAGAAGAAATATGGTGTGTGTAATAAGATCCCATTTTTAGAAAAAAAAAAAAGCTCTGTATATGTATTTGGTGATAAGATATAAAAACTGTCTATGGGGTGACTTTAATTTTTTTAAATAGCCTGATAAACTATTTGACTATTTTACAATGAGAATATTACTTTTTAGTTTGAAAAAGACATTAAGGGAAAAAATTCCATAAATGAATATCAACAGTGAAAGAGACAATATCAAATCATAAGACTAGAGGAAGGTGAGGCTGTCCACAGGAAGAATGGGAAGAATAGTCCGGAAGTTACTTGAGGTGATCTAAGAAAGTGATGAAAAAGGTCTGAGCTCAGCAGTGGCCAAGAAAGGGAGACAAACAGATGTATTGCAGAAGGTGTTCAGCAGATAGATACATGTAGTAGGATTTGGAGGCAGAGTACTTTGGGGATGAGAGACCAGGTTGGCTTGCTCCCATGTGTGTATCCTGAGTGCCTGGATATAATGCCCCCGACCAAACCACTGTGTGATTTTCTCCATTTGGACAGAGTATGCCCTGAGAGGTTAGAAACAGAGAAGGCAGGCACTGGACTGTTGCAGGGTTGAGGGTTGGCAGGTCAGGGCATACAAATTAAGCTTGTGGAAGAGGGTAGTGGTATGAATTGATGTGAAGGAAGTCAGCTCAGAGGGTTAGTGGATGACTGTTACCCATAGACAGTTGTTACCATCTGCTTCAATAGAAAATATAAAGGCAGTAGTTGCTGGGAATGGGAAAGATGATCAATTCAGTTTGGACATACTAAGTTTGAGGTGACTATGGGCCATAAAGATAGAAATATCTAGAAGGCAGTTGGTAATATAGGTTGGTGGCTCAAGGATGTGTGGCATTAGCATCTATAAAGAATGGTCATTTAAACCACAGGCCATTACAAAATTGTTTAGAAAGAGATATATACACAGCAGAAAGAAAAGAGGGTCGAGGGTGAATCCACATTTACCAAAGAGAAAGAGGAAAGAAATCTGTCAGGGAGACTTAGAAGGAGCAGCTAGGAAGGAAGAGAAGCACCACTGAGCTCAGTGTCACAGGAGCACCAAGGCAGGAGGAGGGAGGAACAGCTTTCTATGCCAAGATGCCAAGTTAGATAAGATGTGAAATATGACCATCTTCTGTTAGGTCACTGGGACCCAATCTGGAGCAGTTTCAGAACAGTGGTGGGGACAGAGACCAGTGAGGCGGTGGAGAGTGGGATGAAAAAGCCTTGACCATAAAAGGAAGGAGAGAAGATAATTCTAGACAAGGAGACTATGAGATCACATAATGTAAGATTTTCGGGGTATAGTTGTTAGAAGAGATATGAGCATGTCTGTGTGCAGGGGGAAAAGAGCCAGGAGAGGATAAGTTGAGACATAGAGAAGAGAGTAAATAATTGATGAAACAGGGCTTGGGGTGGGGCTGGAGTCCAGAGTTCAGACAGAGGGATTCCCTGGGACAGAACAGGGGAGATCCATTTTTCCCATTAAGAATTGGGAGAGGAAAAATGGCTATTGCATTTGTTAGCATAGGCTAACCTGCTATAAAAATAAACCCTAATTCGTAATGACTCAAAAACAAAGCTTATTTCTCACTTACATCATTTTTAAGGCAGTTTTTAAAGACAGGCAGGCAGCTACTTCCCATGCAGTTATTTCAGGAACAAGGCTGATGGCAGCTCTACCATCTTTAACACATGGTAGGTTTTCATATCATCAAACAGCTTGCCAGAAGGGGAAAGATCATGGTGTGCATGTGGGACATTTTATGACCAGGCATGGAAGTGGTAGACAACACTAATGCTCAAATTCCATTGGCAAAAAATTTCATCACATGGTAACACCCAACGCAAAGAGGTTGAGAAATGTAGCAGAGCTGTGTGTCCAGGAGGAAGGGAGGAACAGATTCTGGTTGACAGCAATTCATCTAAGCCATAGCTATAGATATACATTCATTTTATTTGCACAGGGTGCACAGAAAGCTGAGGGGTTTTATGTATGAAGGTCTCCATTTTCCTCATGATATAGAAAAGGATGCCATGCAGAGTATGAATATGTAAGAGAGAGAAAGAAGCATGAATAAGGTTCGTGTATCAGTTAGGGCAATCTGGAGAGACATATAGGATTGCCATTTGGCCAAAGGAACCAACTTATTTTGCAAGTTTGTGGTGTCCCCAGACCACACTACTGTGTGGTTTTCTCCATGAGGGCACAGTACCCTGGGTGTTTAGAAGCAGAAAAGGCAGGCACTAGACTGTTCCAGGGTTGAGGGTTGGCAGGTGGGGGCATGAAAATTGAGATTTTGGAAGAAGGAAGTAGTGTGGATGAATAATGAAGGAAGTCAGCTCAGAAGGGGGCTAAGAGATAGGGAGGAAAGGTTTGAGGAAGTCTTTGTGG